AACTTCTATTGATGTCTAATTTTGAAAATATCTTTTTATCCGGAAGAATAAAAGTAAAATCGTTCAAGCGGGGAATCGGCTATCTGTCGGGCTTTGTTATCGCATTCAGCTGGCGATAGTCCCCACAAGGTCTTATATCTCCATTCTTTTTAGGAACTACATGGAGCGGACTAGCCCACGCGCTCTTTGAAGGACGACAGATGCCCAGTTCTTGCATGATGCGAAATTCTTCTTTAACTTTTTTATACCTGTCAGGTGGCAACGGGCGCGCTTTCGCGTGCACGGGCGGGCCAGAGGTCTCGATATAGTGGACGACATCGTGTTTCGTAGTTTCTCGGAATGACGCTGGTTTAGTGATGTCCGGATACTTTAACAATAAATCCTGATATGGATGATTTACATCAATAGTTTTAACACTAGGTTGAGATACATTGACAACAGATGCCGAAACATTCAATTCTGTAGTTTTATCTATTAATTTACGCGCGTTTAAATCAACTAATAGTTTGTGGTACGCTAAAAAATCGGCGCCCAAAATTGGTTGTTTGACATCTGCTACAACGAATTCCCAACGATAAGGTCGGCGTAAGTTTAAGTTTAACACTATTGTCTTGGTACCGTAAGTTGCGATTTCATTGCCGTTAGCTGCGTATAATTTATATTCACTACACTGATTTAGACGATCTTTTCTCACGGCTGGTAAAACAGACACATTGGCACCGGTGTCAACTAAAAATCTAAGTCCGGAATTACTGTCTGACACACACAAACGATTGAATGGAAAAACGGTACAGACCTGAAGACCCTCGGACTGTACCTCGCTGCTCAGTTTTCCGGCTGTGTTGTTTTCCACGCGCAAGGCTTCGTACACCTGTTGGCCTTTTCTCGGAATCTGTAATGGTAAAAGCATAAGTAGTTCTCCTTCCGGGGACGGCAGGGACTGCTACGGCGCCTGGACTGTGAACGACGCCGGTTGCGATCAGGGGCGCGGGACCGCGACCTCTGCTGATCGATCCGGTCCACGGTAGCCTTTATTTTAGCCACCTCAGCTCTCAACAGGGCCAAGTCATAGGCGGTAGTAGATGCTGGCGCTGGCACGGTGTAAGTAGCGGTGGCGGCATAGGAAGGCCGCACAGCCTCCATGACGTTATCTGCAACTGCTGCTAGGTTGTCCAGGTCCTTGGAGTCGGACACAGTTAGCACGGCTCGGACTTGTGTCGGAAGACGACCCTGCCACAAGACGCGAAGGGTTTCATCAGGAACCTTGTCAGTAGCGAGCTCACGCATCCGCCGAAGCAGCTGAGATGGTTTCTGGTCGCCCAGCTCTAGCTCGCTCATAAGCTTCTCGATCTGCCTCGACATTGACTCCTCATAGATGTGGAGTAGCCGAGCTTTGAGTGCGTCGTACTTGTAGGTAGGAGGCGGGTTGAGTAATATGTCCGTCACTTGCGCGATAACCTCCTTACTTAGCTTAGACACGACCAGGTCAAACTTCGCCTCATCACTCAACCTCTGAGGTGCGAGGATAGCTTCCGTGCGTACGAACCATACGCGTGGCTGGTCCGTCCAAAAGTCTGCGAGGCGAGACTGTAGGGACACTGCATCTACACCTGGCGCCATAATGGGCGGTTGCGCAGGTGGCTGGATGTCTTGAACGGGTGGCACGTTAACAGGCGGCACGTTCTGTGACGTAGGCGGAAACGGCGCACTCATGTTACTATATCTATTGTCCACCGATCACAACCACGCGAATATTGCCCACTACTGCATTAACATCACATAGACCACTTCGGTCATCTTGATCACGTCGGGGTCACCAGTTTAGGAGCTGACTCCATATGGGTGCCTATTGGTGACCATAATGAAAGATGAAATCTTTTACTAATATATTTATTATAGCGGAACGTGCCATACAGTTGGCGGGCAACTAGTGACTGGTTGAAATTGAAAAATCTTATTCACTACATAATATAGTTACAATACAACATTGCGAAGTTTACATGTGTGTGCGCAGCACACCTACAAAGGTATAAGTCCACGTGGTCCTAGGCGTACAATAAAACTGGTTGCAACCGCACTGCTCACTAGACTAGATCTAATTGCGTAACTGAATCGACGTCCTACAAAAAAACCGAATGGGTCTGTCCACAAAATTTTGTTAAGGGTATCAAAAATTGTATAAAAAATTACGAATTGAACGGTATTTTTATTTTTTTTTCTACCTTTAAAAATGACAAATATTGATGAGTAAAGTGGTGTTTTACGGTACGGGCGACCGCTTTGCTCCGCACCGCGGTGTGACGTCACAATTCGACACGCTCGCTCAGTCGGTCGCCTTCCCGCTTAGACCATTAAACCCAATGGTCTAAGCCGTCTAAGCCTTCTCGCCAGTCCGCTACCTGTTTCGTTTCTAGGCGCGTACATTTTCTAGACATTAAAAATGGCCAGAGCCAGACAATATCGCATTGTACTTCTGTGTACAAATTTAAGTAAAAAAAAACACCTTTCAAGCTGTTTTTAATGTCCCGAAAAAGGATGAAATAAGAAAAAAGTGATTGAAGGCGATAAGAAGAGCAGATCAGAGAAAAATGTACATGGGCAATGCCGCGAGCCGAAGTCTAGTCGAGCAGTGTTAGGTCTTATATGGCGTACCTAGCATTAAAAACTCAATTTATTCAAAGGCTGCTAGCGTTAATTTCTGTTATATCACGCTCCTTAAGGAACATGATCTTGGGAAAAAAAAATCCGATATGACAAGATAAAATCCTGTAGATCCAGTTATACCTTTATGCAAAATTTCAACCAAATCAGTTTAGTTTATTACACGCATGAATGTTTGCGACCACTACATTTCCAAAACACAATAGGTAGCAACTACCAACGTAATACCGCAATCAGTTTATTCAAACATAAGTTAACAAAGTAAAACTGGTACAAATGTGGTAGAGCCACGCTGCAGTTATATTAGTTGTAGGTATAGTTGTAGCACGAATGGGTCGGCTCGACCGGGGAAGGACCACGCTCTCTCAGAGTACCAGCGTAAAATAGTAGCTTAATACTGCTGTGCTTCGTATGGTGAGTGTAGAGAACCAGGGGTCCCTTATTACTGGAAATGAGGTATTCCATCTTAGTCCTCAGGGGTGACAGCGCATCTGCATTTTAATTCGTAATCGGGGATAGATTTAGATGTCTATAGGCCACAGCAACCACTTACCATCAGGTGGACTGTGTGCTCGTTTGTCACCCTATCCTATAATAAAAAAACACTGGCGAACTACGTAACCTATATTTCTTCACTAGTGACAAGTGAAGAAATTTTGGTAGTACTAAATAATAGTAATACAAAATTTACAAAATATATAAAGTTTATATAAAAAGGGTTATTATATTAATATTAAGGAATTTATGGATGATAATAACCCCTGGGAAGGGTGATCGCTACTAAGCTAGGTTCTAATTTGTTTTGTGTTATTAATTGTAACATAGATGATTGTATTTTTTTTATAGAAAAGGGGGCAAACGAGCATGTGGTTCACCTGATGTTAAGTGACTACCGCCGCCCATGATCAACCGCAACACCTTGACCCTTTAGAAAGGAGTAAGCTCTTTTCTTGAAGGTCTCTAGGTCGTATCGGTCCGGAGAAATCGCCGGTGGTAAACTATTCCACAGAGAGGTTGTAAGTTCTTCTTTTTAAAAAAAATAGTCTCGCTAAGTTTTTTGCTGGTTCTTTCCAGGACAAAGGATTTTTTTGCGAAACAGTGGTAAATTAAAAAAAGTGATTTTCAATAAGTATTATTTGTAATCCACATTGAATAAAAAGTTTCTGTTTCCGTTTCAGTACGAGTTGATTAATATTCACTGCATTAGCAAGTTTAAGCACAGTATATGGATTTATATACTGTGGTTTAAGTAAGTTTTTTCACGTTATGTTGTAAATCATGTGCAACTTCGTGGTGTAGTCACTTAATACCTACCTATGTATTACTGTGTAAACCTAGTAATTAATGGTAAAGCTGTATACTTTATTTCTTTTATTCTAATATAATTATATTATAGTACATTATCTTTTATTAGTAACTTACCTTTGTAGCTTTATTCCACACATTTCTGAGGGTAAAAAATCATCAATATTTTCAGAAAAATACTGCTCAACCATAAATTTATTCTCTTTTGGCAGATTATCTGACTGTCCTTTTTTAAATCCCGATACCATTTTCTTTTTTTTACAGCACTATACATAGTGACTATACATATTAATACAAATATAAGCATATAAAAGCTAAATGTTCAATACTATTATGTATTGAACATTTAAGCATGATCCACACCTTCCGATCCTATCAGATTTGTCGGTAATCCTAAATCGGAGTCACTCTCTACACACTTTCCGATGTGCTTCCTTAAAATCAGATCGGCTTTTAGCGGTGACTCCGTGCAGACGTGATTCACATGGCTCCTACGTTGTCTAAAATACAAAAGATTGTGATAGGAGTAGCAATATCAAGTACCGTCGTGGATACACGAAAAAGGAGGAAAAAGAGAAGCTTATGGGCTGAAGAAATTTACAAACAGAGAAAAAGGTTTACACCTCTAACAATGATTAAGGTTTTAAGGTCTAAAAATTTTCGGACGTATTTAAGGATGAACGAAGAGTGTTTTTCTCAATTACTGTGTATGGTATGCCCATTTATCTAAAAGCAAAATACTATTCTGCGAGAAGCAGTAAGTGCTGAAGAAAGATTAATAGCGACTTTGAGATTCCTTTCTTCTGGTTGTAGCTATACTGACTTGATGTTCAATACAGCTATATCTCCTCAGTTACTCTCACAAATAATACCAGAAACCTGTATAGCAATATATAAATGCTTAAAGGGCTACATAAAGGTATGAAATGAAATTTCCTTTTACGTAATTATTTGTATTTATTTATTATTGTTCCTTTTTATTAATCATAATTATTACCTACCGATATTCATTGTGCTTAGAATAATTGTAGTACTTATTTTTTAGTAAAAATAATAAAGTCTTTTAAAGCTCCCTGCATGTAATTGGATGTTGAGGAATGGAGCGGTGATGGAATGCTAATTACTGGAGGTTCCAAAGAATATGTACATTCTTCGTTAAGAACTGTTTCTGTTGCATTACACAATGGCAATGAATTTGAAGAAATATGGTCTGAATCACTACAAGTAAATGTCGATGTTTGATATGAAGAAGTGTATGATTGCATTGTGGAAGATGGATGGTGCGCCTGTGAAGAATGAGAGGATGATGGAATGATTGTGTACCAATGGGATGATGACTGGTGCGGTTGTGGAGATGGAGAAGGTGATAGAGTGATTGTGTACCGACGGGATGATGACTGGTAAGGTTGTGGACATGGAGAAGGTGATGGAGTGATTGTGTACCGACGGGATGATGACTGGTGTGGTTTTGGAGATGGAGAAGGTGATGAAGTGATTGTGTACCGATGGGATGATGACTGGTGCGGTTGTGGAGACGGAGAAGGTGATGGAGTGATTGTGTACTGATGGGATGGTGACTTGTGCGGTAAGTGTGGTTGTGGAGATGGAGAGGGTAGATATGTAGGTTCCAAAGTTATTTGAGAATTTATTGTTAGTTTTTTCATTTTGGCATAAAAGAGAGCATCTGATATTATTTTTTGCGCAATGGCTGATTGTTCTTCAGTTAGAACTTTGAGTTGAAGTCCAATTGATTTCCCGATTACTTCCCAGTCATTATCTTCACTACCTGTTAATATTTTTTGAGCCTGATCTAGAATTTGAGACTGCTTCGTATAGAGGTCCTGTTTTTTTTTCTTTATTTTAGTGGGTGGAACTGCGAAACCATCGTTTTGTGTTTCATTTCCAGTAATCTGCAAATAAAATAAAATGAAATTAATTTCAGATGCCATCGACGACAGAGGAATGGATAGAAGTGAGCTCGGACTTTGAAAGCAAATGGAATTTCAATCATTGCGTAGGCGCAATCGACGGAAAACATATTGCAATTAAAAAGCCGCCAGACAGTGGATCACTTTTTTTATAATTATAAGAAATTTTTTAGTGTTATTCTGTTAGCAGTAGTAAACGCTAATTATGAATTTATATACGTTCACGTGGGTACAAACGGATGTGTTTCAGATAGTTCCGTGCTGCAAAAGACTAAATTCTATGAGAAGTTGATGGAAGATGGGTTAAATTTACCAAGTCCGTCAACGTTAACAAATTCAAACATCACTGCACCTTACGTTTTTGTAGGAGACAGTGCATTCGCGCTTGATAAAAACATTATGAAACCATTTCCTCTAAAGAACATAGCTCACGATAAGCGAATATTTAATTACAGGCTCTCAAGAGCTAGAAGGGTGGTGGAAAATGCATTCGGAATTCTATCCTCTAGATTTAGAATATTTCGTCGTGCTATTTCCATAGATATAGATAACGTGAACACAATCGTCTTATCTAGTTGTGCGTTACATAATTATTTATCAACTTCCACTTAAAAATCAGCGCAATGAGCAAGGAACTGAAGTGCGACAATTATTTACAAGTTATTTTAATAATGAAGGCGTAGTTTCATTTCAAGAGCAAATGTTGTCGGTTGTACCCTTTGAGTTATACAACACTAGAGGAGCAAACCACATTACCGCGCGTCGAAAAAAGTGTAACCACTATCCAAACGCGACGACGTAGCTTTGAAACTAATAACAATTTTAAGTAAACATATATCTATCTCACTTACACAAGTTGCGAAAACAACATCGTCGTCGTAAGATTAGATAAAGATAGACACACAAACATGCAATGGCGGGTTGGTGTGGCTTACTATATGAAATTTTACCTAAAATATATAAATAAAATGAGTTTTTTTAAGCTGAAGTTAATTGTTTTATATTAAAAAAGTATATTTTATTATAAAATCTTTATTAGGTCCCCTTAGAAAAAAAAGGAATACAAAGCTTATCAGATGAATATAAGTAAACATAATGATGAAATAAAACGTATTTTTATGGTTCTAATAAATGAAACAATATAAAATAGGAATCTAATACAATATAATTAATATAAAATTTATATGAAATTATAAATAATATAAAATTATTAATATAAAATAGGTAATAAAATATATTTAATAGATAATTCATGAATAAACTAAAATAAGAATAATTTAATTATTTTGTATGAAAGTTTAAACGTAGTTTTTATTATAATTTCCAAAATATTTAAAATCAGAGGTAACAAATTAACTTACTCCATTAATTATATAGTCTCCCATTAATGTAGGATAATCACAAATGCGGAAAAGTGGCAACATTGAACCTAAATGGCAATATTCGGTAATTTTATTTAATTATTTGAGGTTTTTTTACGTTTATATGAAAACAAGAACTAAAAATTATGTGTTGAAAGTGATGCCGCTTGATTTATTACGTTTTTGTGACCTTGAATAGCATTCTTTCACTACACATTAACCCATTTTTGTCGCGGCTCAATTCTGTCGGCGTCACATTGAACAATGAACTCACGTTAGCTAGGCATATGGCTGTGGCCATATGTGCAGTGGCAACGCTTTGGCGCGGTTATTACTGATCTAGGGTTATATAAATCAATGGTTGTACCCCAATAAAAAATAATAATTTTCTAAAAAAAAACTGTGTGTTATTTTCAAAATGAACTTACACTTCCACTACTGCCAGCACCATCATCCAAGCTATCCTGACCAGTTCTTTGTGAAAGATCTTTTTCATCAAGAAATGTAAGATATTCGTAGTACCAAAGCTTTGGACAGTAAATATCTTGAATTCCCGAGCCAGTTTTCATGGAATCTCTAACCTAAAACAAATAATTTAATGACGTGAGTACCGGACTTTGTATTTTTCATTTTTAGTAGACATTACGCATGAAGAGTACCTAAACATTAGCCTCGCCAGTTTGAAAAAAATACTCACCTTTTTTGATTCACGTTTGTACGTTGTTCTTAAATTATCAATTTTTTTTTCATATCAGCTAATGTTGCATTTTTACAAACTTGTTTGAAAACTTTTAAAAGTCTTTCATAGGACTTAGTTCTCAAGTCTCTATTTGAGTAATCTGCTGCCGAAGTGTCCCATAAGCATCTACATTCTTTGTAATACTCCAAAAATAAAACAAAATATTCACGGTCTGACACCGAATCGCTTTCCCCGTCCGATGACATTTCAATGCGCGCGAGTAGGTACACGTCTGAACTGGAACGCTGGTCGTGTGTGACTTAGGGATGTTCGATGATCATCGATGTTCGATGATCATCGATGTTAGAAATTAAAACATCGATGTTTTAACATCGATGTTACCATATCTTAAACATCGAAACATCGATGTTGCCACATGTCAAACATCGATGTCAATGAACCAATAATCGATTAATAAGAACTCGTGAACAACGCGAACCCGCGAAATCAATATCAACTAAATATTTCATCTCCTATTAAAGCTTTAAAACTTTGAATAATTAAGGATTCCTAAATGCATCGATCACCTAAAAAATATCATTATGTTGTGTCAAACTCCCTGTTAAGTATGAACTGTAATATCACAGTTGTAACTACTTTCGCTTTGGTATTATGGAGTAATTGTCGGTTGTCGCCTAATAACTATTCTACATAAATTGATATTGAAATTAATTGTTTTTTCCTTGATGTCTACACCCACATAATTTTGAAACTATATATATATCAACACAATTTAATTATATTTAGCTGTTCTTTTGAGTTTGGGATAACAAGTTTGTTGTTTCCTTGGAGTTTATGAAAATAAATCACTGGGCGACCGTGAGCGTAGGCAATTTCACTGCAGAGTGCATTCTACAGTGCTTTTTATAAATGGCTGTGGATAGTTACTGCTTCAGTTGCTTGATCAAAAATCGTGTGAACAAAGGTGACGGAAAAGTCTATTATTTTGTTTTTGTGTAGTTTGTTAATTTTCCTTCTATAATCATTTCTTTTATTTCGCGATTTGATTAGTTAATATAAAACGTAAATAAGGATAGTAAATTTTTTAATACCAGATTTATAATTATATAGAAACATTTAAATATCAAAATAATAATATTCATCATTATCGGCAAAAAATATAACAAATTAACTAAATATTTGTTAAGTTTTTCCCATTTTTCAAATTACTATTTCACACTAAATGTTTTATTAATTTCTTTAATTTCATTAATAATAAACCATAAACAACACAACTAATTTTTATTCATTTAATTTTAACCTACTGAATAGGTACATGTGCTATAACATCGATAATGGCCAACATCGATGTTTTGAGTAGGATAAACATCGAACTGTAACATCGATCATCCCTAGTGTGACTGTGACGTTTTATCGGACGAATGGTTCTATACACCGTCCGATTTAGGATCCGATTTTAGAAAAAGGACGGTCGGAACATCCGATTCTCCGATTTTGTAATAATAATAATAAAATTAGGACCTGTTGCACAATACATTATCCAATTTCATCCGATAATTAGGATCGGATTGGATAGGATCAGAAGGTGTGGATCATGCTTTAGCTTTATGTAAGTAAACAACCGTATACTTCCGAGCGCGCGCTTGGTAGTTGCGTAAACAGTAACAGTAACAGTAAACACTGCGCGCTCGCTGTCGAATTGCGACGTCACGTCACAGGGAACGAGCTGGCAAAAATTAAAAAATTAGCGAAACTTCAAAACGTTATAACTTTCGTATTTCTGCACCAATTTGGATGAAACAAAAACTATTGTTATTTTCATAAACATAGCTTTAAAGCTATATAGGCTACTATTTTATTGTCAAATTATCACATGTTGGTGTGACCCATTGTACTGTTTTTTTTTTGCTGCAAAATGAGATCGTGAGACGTGGCACGTTAACCTTTAATATATAACTAATTTTAATCACATTATTGCGGTTTAATTCTTTTTAATCTTAAAAATTACAGTAATAACAGTCGTATTGTTTTGAATTTATTTACACCGCTGGGCCTTCATACAATATGTAGATCGGTCGGGCGACTGATCTGTATCTGTATACGATTTTTCGCTGTCACCGAGCGATAGTGTTATAATGTATATGTGTGTGTGAAATTGTTATGTTATATTTTTAATTGTTATGTGTCAGTTTCGTAGTAACACGATTGATTTTGTATGCGCAGATTTCCCGCCGCAGAAAAAGATTATCTGTCATTTTCTGCGAGGAAAAATGCTATGGCTACTCCCCTTTGATCTGCCGGTGATCCGTGTTGCTCTACCCGCAGCCTGTAGACGAATTGTACTCATCAAACTCCCAATGCACTGCGTATTCAAAGCAATTAATTCAGGATGATGTTGGAGCTGTCACGCTTTTGAAGCATATCACGTATGGTTACTGCGGCACGCGTGGATAGCTTTAATAGATAGATAGATAAATAACTTATATCCTACAAACGGTGGTCATATCGGTTTAAGCGATCTCTACCTGATAAACCGAACATAAAAGGACATTGTAATTTTATATTTTGACGGATACGTGCAGCGTACTATAAAAAATAAACTGAAAAAAAGAAATAAATGTTATTAAAAGTAATATTTAGCTTGGTATATTTAGCTACGAGTATGAAATAATTTTTCGCAAAAAAATTGGCTTCCTACTCACCGAATATGGAAAGCAAGATAAAAATAATTACACGGTGACACTTTTTTCTACCTGGGAGCAGTTACTGTCTTTACCATAAGGTCACACGGGGCCCGTGCCCAAGGCCCCTATCATCACGGGGGCCCACGTGACGGAAGGCATCGGCCTTATTCGCTTACGCTATACAATCTTTCTTCTATTTTAGAAAAATATAACCTGACAAAAAATATGGAGTAAATGAGGGCGTTGTTAGGACTATCTGGCAACCCTGAGCCACACATTGCCGGAAAAAGTGGCATTGACAGATTTCCTAGGTAGAAAATAATATGTAGTTCCGCATTTCGCCGCCATCTAAACGTTTTGTCGGGCTGCACAGTCGCCTCACTTATAGTCTGGATTTTTTTTCGGCAATCTATGTATTTATAATCTACGAGATAAAAACATAATTTTGTACTGCTTAATAAAAAGATTTAAGGGCAAATGATTTTTTTATTTAATACGCCAATTTTCAGCTACAAATATTAGATTTTATAGCAAATAATTGTTACGATTCTTATTTTTAGATATGTTTAGCCTTCTCTATTTTAATGTAAGAAATAAAAAGAATTATAGAATATTTTCCTTTTTTGGAAAGACATTTAAGTTATTACTTATATTATTTTTTTTAGAATAGGGTGACAAACGAGCACACAGTTCACCTGATGGTAAGTGGTTGCTGTGGCCCATAGACATCTACATTTATCCTCGATTACGAATCAAAATGCAGATGTGTCGTCACCCGTGAGGACTAAGATGGAATGCCTCATTTCCAGTAAAAAGGGTCTCCGGTTCTCTACACTCACCATACGAAACACAGCAGCATTAAGCTACTATAGATAGAGCCGACCCATTCGTGCTACAACTATACTACTAATATAACTGCAGCATGGCTCTACCACGTATAAATATATATTTAAATCTCTTTGCTTCTTTGAAAGAAAGTTTATGAAAAAATCATTAAAGTTTACGTTTTCCTACGAAATTATCGTCCCCGCTATGAAATATTTCAAATATTTTACCTCATTGTTATATGGCGCCGCCCTGGTGGCAAAAAAAATCGCACATTAAAGACATACCTATTATTTGATTTTTACCAATTAACTATAATAAATATAAGATCATAGCAGAAAAATGTATTTGTCATTCACTTGTTTTTACTTTCCAACAGGGCCCCAAGTTCTTTTATGCCCAAGGGCTCCGGTATGGCCTACGACGGCGTTGCCTGGGAGTCCGACTGCGTAGCTTATCTACCACTGTCTTACATAATATAGTTGCTGTCAAATAGCAGTGCTTGCAGTGCTGTGTCCTGCTCTGAAGAGCATAGAGAGCCGGTATAACTACACAGTACGAGATATTATGTACATCTTACTCCTCAGAGGTGATAACACATCTGTAGTCTAGTAATTCTATATCGTGAGTATTTTTCGGCAACTTACGTACACCCTTACCCTTACTCACAGGTCACTTTATCCTCTTCAATGGTTGCCTGGTAGAGATCGCTTCTAAGCGATGAGGCCGCCAATTGTACCTACCTTTAAATAATTTATGTTATTTTCTCTCACATTTCTTTGTAGTGTACAATAAAGTATATTTCATTCATTCATTCATTAGTCTTCTTTGTTTTTTTTTTTTGAGCGGATTTCAAATAAAATGACGCGTTACGTAAGTGGAACTGTTGTAATGGAACTGTGAAGTTTTCATAAATCGAAATGGACTTAAATGTGGATATTTCGATGATAAATTTAATAAATTGTCCTATAGTGCAAAAATATTAAGAATCTTTTTAATAATATTCATTAAAAATCCATTTTAAGGGGCCGTATACTGCAATATTTATTCAGTTTTGTAACTTTTCTAATTACAGTATATATAAAATAAAACTATTATTATTCATATAACTTTTATTATTTGAGTTAAATCAAAGAAAAATCTTTTTGAAAACTAAGCTTATTATAAAATTCTTCGTAGAAATTTAGATAATCTACTGTGTAAAGCTCCATTACGTAACTTTTCAGATATTTCGGGGAGATAAATATCATTTACCACAATATTTGAAACAAGTTTGATATCAAACTCTATTAACGAAATAAAATAATATGAAAATTAACACTATTAAACTTTTAAAAGCACTCAGATCATCAAGATTTGTAAGATAAACGTAAAAAATTAAACTAATATAAACTGTGGGACAGTTACGATAATGGAATAATGTGTTACGAAAAGGAAATGCTTAGAGTGTATGCACATATACACCATTTTTCCATAAGTACTAAAATAATACCTAATTACTATAATTTTAATATTTTTAGAATATCGTCAGTATTTTTTTATAAGAGAAAATTTTATTAACTTTTATAGAATCTATAAAAAAAAATTAATTGACTATGTATGGATCATAAACCAGTTTCCCTTACTTTAGTACTTAGTGATAAAACATAAAAGGTTTGTATCTATAAAATTTATACTTAACTGTGTAACTGTAACTAACTTACGCGCTTTCCTGTTTGTAAATTTTATAATGATTA